ATATTCTATCATGCTTGGGCGCCATTTATACTCAGCTCTTTAAAATCTTTTAAGACCTCGTGTCATTTTGCATTTTTTATAAATTATATTTAAAGTTTCATTTGAACTTATAAAAACAACTTTAATTCCAATTTTTTTCTATAATGTGATTTTTTCCATGTTTGGGCGCCACTTTTACAGCTTCGCATGAAATATTGTTTTTTTTCTTTTGGTTTATTAAAGTTTGTAACTCGTTTTTAGTCGGTTTAACAGAGGTAATGCATACCTATGTTTGGGCGCCATAAACACAGAATACAAAGATGCATATAAATCTGCGTTTCATTTAGTAATCGTATGGAAAATACAAATTTTTTTGACAGGATACATTTGATGATAATCGACTATGACTGGGCGCCATTACCACTAATTTCTACAATAGCTTGAACCTCTTGGTCTCATTACAGATTTAGTTAATTTTATATTTTAACTTTAAGACATCTCCAAGTTCAATTGAATTCAAGTGGGCGCCATCTATATTGACCTCAAATGCTCATATGTCCCAGACCTTCCTAGATGGTATTGGAAAAAAATCTGTTTTTATACATATTTTCTTTTTGATTTTAAAAAACACTTTGAAGAAGATTAATCATTACAATTGGGCGCCATTAATACACATCTCAATAAAATCGTTTATATTTTGATCTATTTTTGGATTCTATTTCAGATTTATTAAAAAAAAAAAGTAAAATATAATATTTTAAATACCAGCCAAACTCAATTTGTTTTTAGTAAGGCCTACACTAGAAATTGTTTAACATAGATTGGGAGCTCCATTTGATCACTTTGAAGAAAGATATATGTCAAGCTCTCCGAATTCAACTGCAAATATTTCAACTGGTATTTATATGATCCTTTAACAATTCCGCGAAAAATATCTTATCTCTCCCTCCATTCTGCCTTCATCTTAAAATCTCCATGTAAAACTCAAAAGCAAATAAAAACTTCACTCCAGGGCTCTCAGCTGGAGAGACTTCTTGTCAGGTTTTCTTCTTTTGCTTCTTTTTTGTTGTTTATATTCTTATTTCAAAATAAAATTATTTGTTATACTTTAAGCTGACATAAATGTTTGCTATTTGTTAGCGATACATGTTGTTCTTGCCTGCTTTTCGAGAGAATTATTTTCTCTTCCCCCTTTTTTTACCCATGAATGTATGCATATAATACAAATAAGTATATACACATATGAATTTACCCAGACATATATATGTTGTGTAGACAAATAAGAAAACACGAAATACAAGAAAAAAAACATAATAATAAGACGCTATTTCCGTATGACTTTATTCATGAAATATATATAACAGGGATGTTTGTTCAAGAGCGCAAATAAAACAGGGACATCAGTGTAGAATGGGGAAAATTTTACACACTTTAGCTACTACAAATTGAACAATATGGAGGACGAAATTCGAGAGGTGACAATGCCCCGACTTTAGACATGATAAACGAAAATATTTCAAGACAGCAACAGGCAATCCGCCGAATTATTGCGGATATGGGCCAGGACAGCATACCTGCAGATAACCCGGACAGATGAGGAGAAAGACATAGATAGTAGGGTTATCCACATCGGGTCAAAGGTTGGCCTTCCGGATCTGCTGAAGTGATGAGTTCTGGAGATCTCACGACTACATCCAGCAAGGGCTTATCGGCACTGGCGATCTCACGACTACAGTGTAGGCTAGTACCTAGTCTAGAAAGAAGGAGAGCGACACAGCTAGTGAAAAAGTGGATGTGACGCTGACTTTCGTGGGTTTCGTGGGTCAAGAAGGCATATTGGCCACCATTGCGATGAAGTAGATCCGTCCGAACTCACTGGTATGGATTTAAAGCATATCAGAATGAAACATGTCGAGACCCCTAAAAAAACGACCACTGTGGAAGCTCTTGTTCGTCTGGAAATGTGGCTTCGAAGGGACAGAACGTAAGAAGACTGTTATGGCTTTAGAACCGGATACAACTGCCTTAAAAAACAAGGCTACGGTTAAGTCTTCCACATCACAGATATTGAAAAAAATCTGCTGTCACCTTTTGCATTGTGATCATGACAAAATCCTGGACATACAGAGTGAGATAAAAAAACTGCAACAAATTCAAACGCCATATCTTTTCCATTTTTTTTTTAAATTTTATTGAATGAAAGCAAAAAATGTCGGAAATAGCATCAGATTTTAGAATAAGTTTAGATTTGTTCGAATTGATCACCTTTGGCACGAGTTATGGCCTTCAAACGCCAATGAAACCGTCACACGCTGTCCCAATTTTACTCTGCGGTATTTTGGCCCATTCCCGGCGAAGCGCTTGCTTGAGGTGATCGAAACTTTGGTATTTTTTAGTGCCAACCTTGATTTCCATAATACTCCAGACACAATAGTCCAACGGATTGGTATCCGGAGATGTTGGTGGCCATTGTGCGCCGGAAATGAAGCTAGGAATCTCATTTTGTAACCACTCTTGGGTGGCGCGTGCTGAGTGCTGTGGTGCTGATTCCTCTTGACATTTCAAGGTTTGCAGACAAAATGTTTACATGCCCAAGGCTTTGATACACCCTTCAGAATATTTTCGCTATAATATTTGGCGTTTATTCTGATGCCACGGTCGACTAAAATGAGCGGAGAGCGACCATCGGCTGTTATGGCAGCCCACACCATCACCGTGGCCGGCGCTTGAGTACTGGTGGACAACCGAGGATGCCCAATTTTCAGCTGACCTCTTTGGCAATAAACACGATCAGTTTGTTTATTTACAAACTGCTGGACATTGAATGTTTGCTCATCAGAGAAACCCAATTTCGGCAGTTCCTTTGAGTCTGTTATCTTTCTGTTGCGGTGTAAGTTCTTACGCTTTTGGAATTTCAATGGCTTTATAATATTGCGATATGTTCAGCTCAACCGAGCTCAACGAACCAATTTTCGGACACTGCGACGCAGGTTTCGATCAAGTCGCTTCTTTACTTTTCGACGTCGGGTTACGCTACCAGTATCACGGTAACGGGCGATGGTACGAGAAGCAAAAGATTTATTAACATTTAAATGCTGGAGTGTTCTAAAGAAAGCCACTTGTGGATTTCCAGCCAAATATAAAGAAATCACACCGTCACACTTGGATTCCATCAGGAATAATTTTTTTTTTCTGGAAAATTCTCACCAAAATGCTTTTGCACGCTTTTAAACAACTGTTAAAATTAGTCCAGTAACAGCTTTTTAGCTGGAATAATTTTAACAGTTGCAGTTTTTTCATCTCACCCTGTATATATATAATAATAAATTATAATAATACCAAATTTCTGAATTCAGCTCTATCCCTTCATATACCTAATTTCAAATATCAACTCCGCACTCACTAACAGCTCCATTCGTTCACACAAAACCAAATTGGTTAAAAATTCGGTGCCACTTACACTTAATACACATTTTCAAAACCACCTCCTTATTACAACCCAACTTCCTTACATTGGGTTTTATACCGAAACAAATGATGTGCTTTTCGTACTTTGTGTTACGTTTTACGATATCCACTTACATATATCAACCCCACTACAAAAACCTAATGTCAATTTTCAGATTTCTAGCTCCATTCCTTCATAATACGTAATTTAGTACTATTTATTACTTGTGAACTTTCAGATTTCCAGCTCCTTTCTCATATACGAGTATCATTTATTACTTTTCGAACTTTTTACTACATATTTTCAAAACCATCATTAAATCTCAACCATACACATTAAGAGTGACTCCAACATGAACATTTCTAATTTCCAGCTCCCTTCCTTTACCCAAATCCAAATTATACTAAATTAAGAAGCATTTAGTAGAGTTCTTAAACTAAGTAAAAATTTTAAAAACTGCTTCTTTTAATCAACCCAATTTCGCCAACATAATGTCAAATGGTGCCAATTATTGTATTTTTAGTACCCTTATAGTTCGAATTACCACAAAGAGAACATTGGTATATATATCCTACAAATAATGAAGACCAACATTCCAAATTTCAGATTTTATTTTATTCATTTTATTTCAAAATCCAAAAAAAATATATATATATTTTTCATCTATCCAACATTCTATCGACTTCATCCTAAATCTTAAAATTCTAACTCTATCCGTTTGACAAATACCTTGAATTGCATTTTGCTACATTTTACTGCTTTTAGAATATTTGCGGATAAATTATCATCCTATGTCCGTCTGCGGTTCTAAGTTAACTTCTCACCAATTTTCAATAATATCTGTAAATCCGCTCTTGACTTATAAATAGTGTAACTAAAACAAATCCTTTATTCCTGTCTAAGATAATGTCATTTTAACTTGGCTGTTGTAGAGCTGGCTTTATCCGACAATATTTGATCAAATTGCATGTCATGATTTTAACCTCACTTGTGCGCCCATCCCCCATCTTTGTATATGTATTTTTCAAAAGAAACCTATAAACATGATTCTCTGGGGGCATTATGTTTTCCTTTATATTCCTTTAAGTACATTTTCCATACTTATGTCGTTGTCGGGAACATAACATGATTTGTTTTTCTTTTTTTCGTTTTTGGAATTTCTATGGATTTTATTTTCAATTTCAATGTTTGCCCGCCATATCTTGGCTTTTACTTTTTTCCCTTGTAGTTTTTATTTTAATGATTTTGATGCAAATGAACATGTGCATGGCAGCCCAGCCAGCCACACACACACAAAAGCTGGAGAATTATTTTTTCTCTTTTCGTATTTGCATTATTATTACGCTTGTATGTGTGAGATTATGTTGTACAAAAGAAAACTGAAATTGTATTCGCAAGTATTGTCTACTCACATAAAAAGCGGGGAGGTTTCTTTGTTGTTACTCTCGTAATTTGGGTGGGGGAAAAGCGGGGAAATTTAAAACTACAAAACCAATGTGTGATGTCAAATGAAAACGGAAATCGGCTATTGTATGCATTGCATATTGAATTGTAAAGGAAACTGTATACTTACTTATAACGGATAAATTGAAACGGAAGCTTTGTGTTTGACTCGTACGAAAATCGATGCGACAGCGATAGATGCCTTGATCGTGACGTTTGATATCCTGGATAGAAACGAAAGGAGGAAAAACAGAGGGGTTAAATACATATGATTACATTCGGGGTATTTTGTGGTTAAGCGAATTGAATTGGTAAGCCTTTACAAATCATACTCTTTAATCCAATAAAAAAAAAAAAAAAAATAATAATAATAATAATAATAATAATAATAAATATAATAAATATACAGGGTGAGATGAAAAAACCGCAACCGACTTCAGAAGGCTGTAAATTCTGAGCCACTCGTCAGACAGCTGTTAAAATTATTATCCCAGTGACAGCCCATTATATCGTTTGCAAGCGTACAAAAACATTTTGGTGAGAATTATCCAGAAAAAAAGTTATTCGTGATGGAATTCAAGCGTGATAGAGTGATTTCTATACATTTGGCTGGAAAACCACAAGTTGCTATCGTTAGAGCACTCCAGCATTTAAATGTGAATAAATATTTTGTGCCTCGTATCATCGCTCGTTAACGTGATACTGGTAGCGTAGCCCGACGTCAAGAAAGTAGACGGAAGAAAACAGCAACATCAGCAGGAATGCTTCGAACAATAAAGAAACGACTTCTTCGAAACCCACGTCACAATGGCCGAAAAATGGCTCGTGCGCTGAACATATCGCAATAATCCATTCGCCAAATATTGAAAAATGAGCTCGGGGTAAAATTCCAAAAAGAGCAAGAACTTACACCGCAACAGAAAGAAAGTAGACTCAAAAGAGCTAAAGAGTTGCTCCGCATGGCCGAAAGTGGTGAACTGCCGAATTTGGTTTTCTCCGATAAGAAAACATTCGTTGTCTAGCATTGTGTAAACAAACAAAATGATCGCCAAAGAGGTCAGCTGAAAATGTGCACCTTCGGTTGGCCACCAGAACTCAAGCGCCGGCCATGGTGATGGTGTGAGCCACCATAATAGACGATGGTTGCTTTTCGCTCGTATTAATCGACCGTAACATCAAAATATATACCGAATATTATTGCGAAAATATTATTGCGAAAATATTCAATCGCACCCACAACGCGCCACCCAAGAATGATTACAAAATGAGGTTCCTCGCTTCATTTCCAGTGCACAATGGCCACCAAAATCTACGGATATCAATCCGTTAGACTATTGTGTCTGGGGTATTTTGAAAAGCTATGTTGGCACTAAAAAATAACAAAGTGTCGATCACCTCAAGCGCTTCGCCGGAAGTGGGCCAAAATACCGCAGAGCAATATTCGGGCAGCTTGTGACGGTTTGATGGCCATAATTCCCGCCAAAGGAGACCAATTCGAACCAATCTAAACTTATTCTAAAATTTCATGATATTTCCGACATTTTTTGCTTTCATTCAATAAAATTTAAAAAAAAAATGTAAAAATGCTGTAAGTTCGGCCAGGCCGAACATTGAATACCCTCCATCATTTGGTACAAATTTGACAATTTTCAAAAAATTAAAATCCATTAAAAATTCTGTTGAAATCTTAAAAACACCGAATGTAGCCGTATGTTAGGCTCTATACGACGACGTGGACCTGCATATGCAACTTTTGTCATAAGCCTGCACAGACAATTTCCAGTCATAGGCTGTAGTATTGATTACGAACTTCGAATACCTAATTTGAAATAGTTCCGGTAAACAATGTAGCTAAAAAAAATCATCAAAATACCGAAATCCGGGGGGGGGGGGGGGTACCGTTATGTGGGGGCTATAAAAAGACGTGAGCCTTCACAGAAAATTTTCTGTCATAGGCTGTAGTATTCATTACGAACTTCATATACTAAATTTAAAATAGTTTCCGTAAATAAATGTCGCTAAAATCATCAAAATAACGAATATAGGGGGAATTGTTATATGGGGGCTATATGGAGACGTTGACCTGCACAGACAATTTTCTGCCATAGGCTGTAGTATTCATTACGAACTTCATATACTATATTTAAAATATTTCCGGTAAATAAAATGGCTAAAATCATCAAAAAACCGAAAGTCGGGAGGTACCGTTATGTGGGGGCTGTACGAAGACGTGAACCTTCACAGAATTTTTTTGCCTTAGGCTGTAGTATCTATTAAGAACTTCGAATACCAAATTTGAAACAATTCCGGTAAACAATGTCGCTAAAATCATCAAAATACCGAATATCGAGAGGTACCGTTATATGGGAGCTATACGAAGACGTGGACCTGCACAGACAATCTCCGGTCATAGGCTGCAGTATCCATTACGAACTTCGGATACCAAATTTTAAATAATTCTGGTAAATAATAACGCTAAATTCATCAAAATACCGAATATCGGAAGGTACCGTTTATGGGAGCTATACGAAGATGTGCACCTACTTTACCCATTTTCAATACCAAAAGTCCTGCAAACATAATACATATTTGAGTAAATTTTTATCAACTTTATTCATTTCGTTCGGAAGCTGGAGTGATTTCCACAGACGGATAGATGGACGGACTAAATCGACATAGAATTTTATGCTGATTAAGAATATATATACTTTGTTGGGTCTAAAATGTATATTTCGAGGTGTTGCAAACGGAATGAAAAACTTAATATACCCTCCATACTATGGTGGAGGGTACAAAAAATGTAAAAATTATGGCGTTTGACTCTGTTGCAGTATTTAATCTCACCCTGTATTTTAAATTCAATTTCAGTATTGCTTTATCCATTTCTCATGTGATGGAAAATTTGTTTATAAATTAAAGTATATAAACAGTGTCATATATAAAAAGTTCAAATTTCAAGCCCATTTTGAAATATTAAATGAGTCTCGCCTTTTTATCCGAAAATATAATTTACAGCAAACCAAATTAAACCCTCCTTACTGTCCAATCGACCACCATATTCACAACCTTAAAAAATACTCATTTTATACTAATGTTTACAGTTTTCTGATTTCCAATCCAATTCTCCAAATTAAATATACCTCCCCACCAGGAAAAAACCACACATACATGCTGGAGTTGTTGTTATTGCCATTGTTTCTGCACGCAACACCATAAATGTTTCTAATTAAATTTAAACACCGATTTCGTGTACATCTGCCATTAATACACTCATTAAATTTGCCACAAAATCCAAATATTTATTCGTTGTTTACTTAGAAAATCGTAAATATCGATGGCAGAGTTGTACCCCGAAACTGTAGCTCGGAAAACCCCTCCATATTATTGTGCAAACACCCGCTCCCTCACTCACACACAAAGCAACCCATTCACCCACATTACCCCACCATCCAACTGACAAGGTTTCCAGAACCGGGTAGTATAGCGAATCAAGTACTTAAAATGTTTAACCACAAAATTTGTATTAAATTTATCAAACAATCATTAAATACCGCCACAAATAAATTTCATGACAACATACAACAACAAAAAGCAACATTAAATACAAAAGCTACAACAACGAAAGAGGAAATTATATGATTTTTATTTTTATTTTGCATCATGCCACGAAGAGTGAAATGCCGGAGAAAAAATAATGTAAAAACGTAAATAGCGGAAACACCATCATGAACGATGTCATCATTTTGCAGGGATGGGTTTTAAGGAGGGACGATGTTCATTAGAGGTTTTTGGGTTTTTTTATAACCTCCGCATGGAAAAGAGGGTTGATGAAGTTGGTCACAGGAGTTGTGATGATTCATATTGGAGCTAACAAAAAAAAAATCGATGTTATTATCGATAGTACTGATATTTTATAAATTTAAAATAGAAAAATATTGTAAATTTTCAAAAAAAAAAAAAACAGTGTTGCAAATTTATGTGAAAAATAAAAATTAATTCCTCTCACAATTTAAGCAGGTTCGGTTCTATATTTTGTTATACCCTACAACACTTTGTGTTGGGGGTATTATAAGTTTGATTGGGCCAAAAATTATGTAACACCTCGAAATATTGGTTTCCCACATAGGAAAGTATGTACGGATCTTCCTATCTCGCCGAGCTGAGTCGATCTAGCTATGTATGTCCGTCCGTCCGTCTGTCCGTCTGTCCATGTTAATTTGTAATCACTCTGCAGGTCGCAATTATAGCCCGATCTTCACGAAATTTAGAATGGAGGTGGGGTTAAGGTCAGAATAGAACCTTATTTATTTTGGGGATGATCGCATAATATGGACCAACATTTTTCTGATTTTGCAGTTGCTCTAAAGGTCGCAATTATATACCAATCGACGCGGAAATTAGCATGGCGCTAGAGCTTAAGGCTGGGCAGAAGCCTTCCAATTTTCATCGGGTAATATTTAGTGGGTGAAATAGTCTATAACATTTGTGTTAAATAAAAGTCAAATTTTCCATTGAACCGCGAATATTTTTAGTTCCGGCGAAATCACACATAGACGAACAGGTCAATTCTGACCGTTTATATATATTATATCGGATATATATAGCGAAATATATACAATGTATGTAAACAAAGGAAGGGGATGTTAGCTAAAATGCTGGACCGATTTTGACAAATTTTGTCAATTCGGAATGCCCTCCTGGCATAAAAGAATAAAATCTAAAAAATCGCGTAAAAAGATGCCAATAATGATGTTAATATAGATTTTGTAGTATTTTGTGACATATTTATTTTTTCATATTTTTTATCGCATGCGATTTTTTCAATTTGACTTATAATATTGAGGTGCAAATTTTGTAATATTTTTTCACTTTACAACACAGGTTGGGGTTATTATAAACATTGTACAATTATCATCCGATCCTCACGAAAAAGGATAGGGCTAGGCACAGAAGGGCTAGCCCTATTTTTTTCAAAGATGTCCGCAATATATTTTGGTGTTGAAATGGACCAAAAACGAAAAAAAAAAACGCCTGAGAAGGGCGTTAAGGACAGGGAAGAATTGGATGACCATAGGATTATATTTAGCTGTAAAATGGACCAAAACAACTAACAGTACGACGAAATGCGTAAATATTGGGCAAATGTCCCTGTTCATAATGCTAAAGGTAATATCTGTGCCGTAATCCGTAACATAATTTCCAAGGCGAAATCTTCCAAAATGGA